CTAGACTTACCCATCTACTATCAAGTCCTCATAGGAAGCTGGACCATCACAGACAGGACATTTCCAGCTTGGTTTGCGCTCATTTATCAGCAGATAAGTGCTGGCATCGAAGCACTGGATATGCCGGCATTTTCGACCCCGAACGGGCAATTCGATGCGACACTTGGACAAAGGGCAGAGAATCTGGGCAGGAACAATGTTTGGCATCACCAAGTCATCATCATCATCTTCGTCTTCATCAGTTATAGCATTTATATTATTGATTTCAAGGCCATGTATCGCCTCATTAGCTTGGCCACAATCTGTCAGGCCCTTTGTTTTAGCTGGTGGCCACAGTTTGCTACCGTCGTTGTTGCCGGGAACAACGTCAGGTAAGTCTAATCGGGCCCGTGTCTTGTTATGTCCATTGATTGTTCGTTTGTGATTTCCGTCATTGCTATCTCGTGGGGATAATTTGTCAACAATCTCTTTCTGATCGGCCAGAATAGAATTTGGACAAGAGTTGTATGGTATTAAATTGGAAAGGAGAATAAAGTCAAACAATAAGGTATTTCTATCGTTTTTTAATTATCAACCTTTCAATTATCTATAATTGAATGGGCAAGAGAGGAAAATGAAATTAAAGACTGTGAAAAGTGATAAGCTGCAATAAGTCGACTCGGCCACTGCCTTCGCCTGATCTCAATCAGTACAAAACGGTAGCAAGAGATCTGACTTCTATGCACACTTGAGTCATTTTTAAAAGCCTACTAATAAATCAAAGATGATTAATCCAAGATATTAAAGGGGTGGAAGAAAAATATTACAGATCTAATGGCCTCAAAAAAATTACGGTACATGTAGGAATGTAAAAAACAAACTAATAGAAACGATAGATTATTGGATAAGTTAAAATGTCTAAAAATGAACCCAGTCAACAAAGGACTGTTCGAAGTTTTGGGTAGAATAGCAAAGTAGTAGAGATTAGATCAGAATATTAAAAGTATTCACCTTATTTACTTATGTGATAAAGGACTGGTAGTTGAATTTTCCCACAATGATATGAGTAGAGTTGACGTTTCCATCTAATTTTGCAAGGCTATGTGAAATTCAATGGAAGCGTCAGCTCTACTCATATAATTATGGGAAAATTCAACTATCAGTCCTTTATCACCTTAAGTAAATAGGGCGAATGCATCCCATATAACTTTGCCTATAAACAAAAAAAATTAATCAAAGTAACTTCTATTTTTCTATCTATTTTAGATATTATTAAGCAAAAGTAATGGGTAGAAAAAATATTTTTATAGGCTAACATAAGTCTAGCAACACAAACTTTTTAAAAGATAAATAAGGAATGGAGTATGTAGGAAAGTGAAGATAACAAAGGGAGAACAGATGATAATATTCAACGACATATAACCCTCTACTGGTCGGCGATAATGCTGCGCTCGTTTGCAACGCAAAAAATAATTGGACCACAAAAGTATAACACATTTCAAGTTTCCATAATCAAACAGAATAAACTG